AGCGCTGCGTCCCGCTCCGGCGCCGCCGGGAAACGAAAGCGAAACCGGAGCCGCCGCAGCCTCGGCCCGGCCCTGCCCGGCTCCGCACAGCCCGGCCTGGGAGCCCGCCCTCCCCGTGCCCTGGAAGGGCGCAGCCTCACCCGCGGCTCTTGAACTCAGGGCCCGTCCCCGTCCCCACCCCAAGCACGACAGACACCGCGCTCGCTGCAGACGCTTTAATTCCCGCTGTGCCAGGGGCCAGCGGCAGACTCCACGGCAGGGCCAGGGCTAGTCCGCATCCTCCATGAAAACAGCCACTCCTTGTCGCCCCACTGGGACGTAGGCAAGGGCATCCACCTCTCCCCCACCATGGCTGGTCTTCTGGAAGTGGATCTCCAGGGTGTCCCTCATGGGCTCTTCATCCAGCACATCTGGGATCCCCGAGAGCAGGACAGTCCTAGGGCAGCGGGAGGGCTGGAGCTGGGCAGAGATGGGGGTGATCCCTGTGTTGTGGGGGGAAAGGGGCTCCTCGGGGCTTCCCACACTGCTCTGCTCCAGCCACCTGCCCGAACAGCTTGGGCTGCGCAGCAGCGTGGGGAGCAGGTATGCAGGAGCCCCCAACTGCACTGGCTCACCAGAGCTGGCAGGTGCTGCTTGGCACCAGAGTTCATGCCCTTACCTTCAGGTTAGCGATGTCTCCACTCACGCAGGGTGATATTTTGAGCTCGTATTTTCCTTTCCCAATAAGTGCCTGGATGCGTCCTCTTGCAATTAGCGGCCCTGCCACTGCAGACAGAGAGGAAAGCCCTGAGCCAGCCAGGACACGCTGAGCTCCAGGGGAGTTTATGTCTCTGGGACAGACACCAAGGCTGGCACTGCCCAGCCCCAGCAAACCTGCACCAGCACAATCTCAGAGAAGACAGGATAGGCTGGGCTCACTCTGCCTTCCCTGTTTCCCACAGACACAGCTCCATCTGCTCTGGGGAGACAACCTGTGTCCTCCCGCTCCCTCAAAACTGCAGCCCAAGCTCAGCATGCCCCACGCACCTCCCTCCTGCACGAAGGTCATCACCACCTGGCCTGAGTCCTCCAGGAACTCCCTGCTCTCCACCTCACCACCACCATTCTTTGTCTTGCTGAAGAAGAGCTCCAACTTGTCCAGCAGTGCCTCCTCGGGGATGTCCAGGCTGGGCAGGTCAGATAGGATGATACTCCTGCTGCTCTGTGTCAGCCTGACCTGTGAGTAGCCCAGGATGGTCAGTGCCAGGGCAGGGCAGCCCCAGAGCTTGGAGAGCAGCTCAGAGCTCAGACCAGGACTGGTACCAGGGACCTGGCAGAGGTGAGCTGGAGAGCAGCAGAGCAGGGCACGGCAGCAGCAGGGCAGGGCACATGCCCAGGGCAGCTCTGCGGTTCGGGTGGTGCAGGAGCCCTCGAGACCCACCTCGAGGGCAGACGGCAGCAGCATGTCCACCGGCGCTGCTTGTACTCGTACTCTGCACCGGTCGAGCTCATCCAGCTCCTCCCCATAGCTCAACTCCACCATGTGCTCCTTCGCCTCTATGATACTCTGGGCTACTGCGAGCAGGGAGAGCCCCCAGCACAGGGGATCAACCACCTGCCCTGAGTGCCATGGGATGGGACATGGGGCAGCTAACACCTGGGGACAGGGCAGAACCCCATACAACGAGGCAAAGCCCTGAGCTGTGGCCTGGGGAAGGGACCAGGCAGGCCCCAAAGCCAATGGCTCAGGTGGAAGTGCTCTTCTCAGTCTTACCCTCTGCCTTCTCAAAGGTGATGAGCGCTGAGCCCCCCAGCAGAGGGTAGTGGATCAATGGAGTGAGAAACAGCTTGTTGATATCCTCCTTGTTTGTCACAAGTCCCTTAAACACCATCTTCTTCTCTGGCAAGGCAGGCAGCACCTGTGGTCAAGTACACAGGATTTGGAGGAGACTGGTCCCCACTCAGGGCCTGTCCCTGCCAATCTACAGACTAGAAACAAGATCACTGCTCAAAATAAGCAGCTAGAAGAGCCTCAGCAGAGCTTCTCCTAGGGTCTGGCTGTGCTCAGAGTCCCAAAGTTGCCTCTGGAAGTTCTGGCTCTGGCAGAGTTTGCAGGAGTTGCTCCAGTCATCCTGCAGTGCCTAGCTGCATTGCCTGCAGCCAGGCTCATGCCTCTTGCCAGCAGACCCAGGTGTCCACACACATCACATTACCATCACCAGATAATCCCAGGGGCTTCTCTTCCTCAGTTCTTCCAGTTTCTTTTTCAACACCTGCTTTTCCTGCCTCAGTCTGTCCTTCTTCTCCTTTGCTAAAAGAATGTCCATCTGGAAGGGCAGAAAGAGGAGGCAGTAAGGGAGCTGCCAGGACATGAGTGGCTGCAAGCACAGCGCCCACGCTGCTCTTGTGCTCTCCCCTGCCTGCAGCCCTGCCCCCTGCCGCTCTGATCACAGCTCTTCCTCCATCACCACTGACGAGATATCCCTTGAAACCTCCACCAGGCCCAGAGCAAAGCCATCTCAGAGGAGTGAGCTGAGGGTCACAGTCCCACCACCCACCACCACCTGTCCAAGCCCAGGAGAAGGCCTCTCACCACCAACCTGGAAGGGTATCTCCTCATCTCTGATTAAAGACATTTGTTGCTGAAGATTTTTCTGAAGTTCTGCCATCTTCCTCACCTCTACAGCTTCCTTGGCAGTTTTTAGCTTGGCACAGTCTTGCTCAAGGGTGCTACACCGCTCCTGTGAAAGGTGCCATCAGATCGTGAGCGCCGCCCTGTGCACCCCCCTGGCTGCCGACCCGGAGGGGGCAGCTCCCTGCGGTGAATCCCAGATCCCCGTACAAGCCCTCACAATCGTAGGACATCCCTGTCCCTCTGTTCCTGGGACGTAGTCCCAGAGAAAACGGAACAACTCGCGCTTCCAGCCAAGGAGGCCCGGCGGCCCCCGGGGCGGCTCAGACAGACCCGATCCCTCGGCAGCCGGTCCCACCTTGCAGCGCTCGATCTCCTGCCGAGCTTGCTCGGCGGTCAGCTGGGGGACCGCCCGCTCC